CTCCGCCACGTACGCCACGCACCCACCTAGATCCTTAGCAGCTGCTCGTGTCCAGTCCTCCTGCTCATCCTCTACTGTGTGGATCCTCTCTCGGTAAGCCTCGATTGATCCCAATTCCCCGCTCGAATCTTGATTCTGTGCAAGTTACTGTTAATAATATTGCATCAGATGTCTCGCCACCCCGTGGGACAGGGCGACTCCGTAGGGCGTCCGACTAGGTTGTTTATGCCAGGCGGGGGTCTTCTGATAATAGATTGATGAACTGGTGGGCGTAGGTCTGGTCATAGTTGAGGTCTCTAGGGTGGAATTGGTTGTGAGAAAAGGTGCTTGATCCAATTTGTCTCCCTTTGATTTTCGATCATATAAATTTCAGACGAATTCGGTTGGAATTGAGATTTCTGGCACTAGACGTGATCCTACACTCGTGGTTGAGGCTTGTAGATTTTTTTCTTACTAGGAAACATGCCCGTGCGTTGCAACGGGAGAAAAAAAATCGTATGCCCCTATCCTCCTTGCACATAGATCCACATCACTTACTTGCAAGGATATATGGCCACAAATGCATATTCAAATTAAGAACGATCAAAATGCATATTATTTATCTTATATATATTTCATACAGGGAAAATTCAACCTTTGAAGAAAATGAGGTGAAAGAGTTAACTTCTGGAATGAACGTCAAAGCCAATTACCTTTTGGGGCAATGTATTATTAAAGTATATCCATACAACTTGCGATGTGATCATGAGAGAACAAAGTTGAATAATGATTTTTTTTATCAAGTAAAGAAGGTGAGAACAGTGCTCAAAACTCAAGTGTGAGATTATAGACAACATACAGATTGCCTTATTCCAACTGAAGAATATATGTACCAATGAGATCGATCTCCATGCTACACCAAATTATCAATTCATCAATTGTTTGTACATTGCATATCAATTTACTTGCCTGAAATTTTAAAAAACCTGACTGGTGATGAACTAACCGATTCACACAAAGAGCTACAATCAGAGGAAGTGGGTAAGAATGGCAATTGATATAAATGGCAAACAACAATCTAACAAAATAGTACAATACTTATAGAAACTGGCAACGAATTTGGAATTTAATATTTTATTGAATGGAAAAACCCCTCCGCATTATTAGTGATGCCAATCCTGAAATAACATAACAACTTGAAGAACAGAGAAAACTAATTTATTTGGAGCTCGTAGCTCAGAACACAAATTGCAGTTTCCAGCCTGAGAGATAGACACATGCCAGTTTCCCTCATATGTGTGACCTTCAGAATATTGCATTGCTCTCATTACCAAAATGAGGGCATCAAATATTTAACCTGCAAACCAGAACATGTGACAATATCTATGAAGAGCTGCATCTACTTCATTTCAATGACATATTGATTAGGAGGTAGTAGCATGCAACATATACAAATAAAAGTTTTGCAGTGCGACAAGCGCCACCTCCCCAAAATTCTGGAAAGCTCAATCTTATCGCACCTCCTCTTGGTCTTCCCCCTGGACTCCATCTAAGACAGCTACACGGCCGCCCGGGCGATCATTACAGCGAATGACACTGACTCAAGTTCACTCGACACCTTCTACTCCACGCTCAACTCGGCGAGACTCGGCCAACTCAAGTTGTTATCAGCAAGCCTTTGTGTGAATCGGTTAGTTCATCACCAGTCAGGTTTCAGTAACACATTTCAGTTTCACAAAATTATAATTCACCAGTCCACTGAACATGTTGCACATTTCAGTTTCACAAAATTATAAACATATCCTGAATATTTGATGATTTTGTACTAACTATACAGTACGATAGAATTACAAAAAGAAAAGTAAGACACTAACGGACTAACCTGCATGTCCTTGGTTTGTTCACTCTGTTTGCTCTGAATTGCAGATTACGTTTACAGCCACATAGTATCACGTCAAATGTCTCATGAATTAAGATCACAAAACTTCTCTAAAAAAAGAACATCACAAAACTCTCATGAACAATATGAGGTCATGCAGGATGCAACCAACCTTGGGTCGCTCGGGAAATCAAGCAAGATGTGTTATCCCTGGTCATGTTCTTGGCCGGCCTCTGTTGCTCCGCTCTCGCCCAATCATCGGATAACTGAAACCACACAAACCTCTTGAATTCCAACTCTAATCCGCCACCATCGGTCACTATGTGTGGCTCGACATGTGATGGCGTGCGTCCAGCAAATCCCTGCAGCTCGCCGACCCAAAACCCACCGCTGCCGCCACAATCTCCTAGCTGCACTATAGTCCAAGAAATTAGAATCTCGCACCATATGTAATCAAGAGCAGAGATACGGAAGAATTCAAATACTTGGGACTGACGAACGACGACAATCCTGATTCGAGACTTGGGCTTAGCTTAGCGGCCTGCTTCGAAATGTCTATAAAAGAGCAACCTCTATAAATGTCTATAGAAGAGCAACCTCAGTATAAACGTCTATGAAAGAGTTCAAATACAGAAGTTCATATAATACTACGAAAGAGTTTCAATAGAGGTTCTGAACTTCAATGTCTTAAAATTATTACTTCTTGATACAGCTACCTGAAATTAACAATAAGCGGGTTACAATATGAAATTCCCAACAGAAAAGATTAAGTGGTCATGCACACACACAACTCACTTCAACAGTTTTCGACCAGCTAGCTAACATGTGAAGCTGGGCTGCCTGTTCTTCAAGATATTTATTATATCTCCAGGCCCATTTCAGCATATGATGGAACGATTCTTTTAGCTCTCCTTTCTCAGACTCGCTCAATTGTGTGCGCAGTTCTTGAGACATCTAAACATCAAGAGAAGCAACTTGAAGAACATAATAATCTCAAACCCAATATGAACAGGACTGAACAAGCAACCTAGATAAGCTTTTGATGGAACACATCAAGATCAATCATTCAATCACCTCTCTCCGAAAAATAATATACACTACCAAATTCAGATGTTGTAGAATTCCGTAGGATCTCTTCAATCTAAGAATCAAAAAACTGATGAGATACGAAAAAACAAAATAATAATTTCACGGGTTCAAATGCACACCTTCGATTCAACTCTCAGATTGGAAAGCAGCTGAGGGTATTTCATTGAAGTGTATGGACATCTGAACTGGACAACTTCAAGCAATTACAAAACCTACATGAAACAAATAGCAAATAAGATTTTCCAGCGGACAAATTGTCAAGACATCTTTCTCTCACTGTTAATGAATAAAAAGTTTAGCAAGTCTGGATACTTCTAAAGTTTTGTGGTGTCTTGAATGGTGAACCATTCAGGACTGCTCCATGTGCAGGTATGAGTTTTATTAAGTTCGGTGAAGCATTTGCGCTTCAAGCCACATCTGACTCCGTCATTCGCTGTTCAGTGGCTAGGCCATCAATAATCCCAAATCCACTGCCAAGTCTAAAAGGCAATGTGTCTGATGAATCCAACAACTGGCAGCGGCAAAAACCGTTGAGAAATTAAACAAGAGCGCCACCGACATAAAGATAAATATAAGAGGAAAAGGCATTTATCTCTACCCTTATCAGGCAGCTAATATTCAGATGCAATTAAACAAGGCAATCCTAGGAACACTTAGGTTAGAAAAGCAAGTCAGGAGCACAATTAATTATCTCTACTCTCATATGTAAGCAATGATAGCAGGCAAAAACTATGCTCTTTGATTGCGAAGCAGAATGTTGCCCATCTGGAATCAATGAGTGATGCGCCATAGAGAGGGCACTTCTAGTTCTAGTGCTTCAGGGGTTGGTTTTTCAGCGTCAGCAGCACCATTAGGAAAATCACCTGCATCGGCCCCGGAGAAGAACCCACCGCGGCCGTGGCGCCCGGAGAACACCTTGCGGTTCTTGGCCACGACGTCGCACGCCGCCTCCGCCGGCATCCGGCGCGCGAACAACGCAGCCGCCAGGAACCATCCGGCGCCGGACCCTGCTTGAAGTAGTCCACTACGCGGGCCTCGGGGTTCCCGGACAGCTCCCGCAGTCAGCGCTCGAGCCTGACCAGCACGGCCGCGGCGAGCGTGCCCCGAAGAGCACGCCCCTGCTGGCTCCAGCGCCTGCGCGCCAAACAGGAAGTTGGACTCGTGGATGGAGAAGATCTGCTCAACGGCCCGACGCCGTGCTGCCCCGCAAGCCCCGGCAAGGCGGCTTTCATCCCCGCCGCATCGTGGTTGAACGCCTGGCTCAGCCCGCCCACACGTCGCGGCGGCTCACCCTTGGGCGCCCTGTCCGTGCGTGCGCCGGCCTCGACGCCACCGGCAACGGCCCGACGCCGTGCTGACGCGCCCGAGCCCGGGCGAGGAAGCCTCCATCCCCTGCCGCATCGTGGTCGCGTCGTCGTAGCTGTCGCCACCACCACGGACGTCGTCGCACAGCCGCAGCCTCCGAGTTCACCAGCCGCCGGTGCCCCCGTCCTCCCTGCGACCGGCGCCGCGACCCTCTACCTCGCGGACAACGACGACAGCGCCACTATCGACCGTCTCGGGCCGCCCCTTGCCTCGCTCACGTGGGCCGCAGACAACCCCTGCCGCGACGCCTCGTTCTATTCCTGGGCTTGGACGGCGCGTACGCCCGGTGGTGGAGAACGGGAATGGATAAGCTGCTGGTGGAGGATAGGGGGTTTAATGTAAAAATGAAACGTTTTCTAAACTTAAAATAGGACTGCGGGTTGATTTCATGTAAACTTATGAGCTTGTTTGCAAAACGGCCACGATGACGGACGACCAGAAGCATTAGCTGCTTTATTAGTAGGGAAAGACTGTAGTTGAAACATGTTGGCCTTGTACTGTTTAGTTTTTTTTTGTTAACAAATGCAACTGGTATGTTTGTCCTATTGTAGATTTTGTGCACTACTATTATGTTTTTTCGAGTATGGTGAAGCTGATATGCATATAATTTCAATTATTTTTCCTTCCAAACCAGGTTGAGGGATGACACCCCAGAGAGTTATTTGACTTTGAAGATAAACGAGACAAGATGGGCTCTTATCTAAGCACTGCAATCAGTAAGGCTCAATCCATGGATTCAGACGAGGTACATGGATCAGTTTCAAACAAAAGGGCCAAGATAACCGCATATGTTTGTGGGTCATATTCAAGGATAATTCCGACTCTTCCTGATGAGCTTTCATTTCAAATTCTAGCAAGGTTACCACGGATTCATTACCTAAAGATGAAGTTGGTTAGCCGAACTTGGAAGGCGGCAATCACCGGCACTGAGCTTGCCCAGCTGAGAAAAGAGCTTGGGTTAACTGAAGAATGGTTGTATATACTGACCAGAGTTGAGGCAAATAAGCTTGAATGCTATGCACTCGATCCATTGTTCCAGAAATGGCAAAGGCTGCCATCCATGCCTTCATTCGCCAATGAGGCGGATTCCACTGGGAGGACGCAGTATTCTGTGTTTCGGATGTGGAATGCAGTGGGCTCAAGCATCAGGATTGCTGATTTCTTTAGGGGATGGTTTTGGCGCCGATATGGTTTGGATCAAATGCCTTTTTGTGGGTGCTCTGTCGGAGTTGCTGATGGTTGCTTGTATGTCTTAAGGGGGTTTTCCAAAGCTGTTGCCTTGAATTGCGTGTGGAGGTATGACCCTTGTGTCAATTTGTGGCAGGAAGTTAACCCGATGATATCTGGTAGGGCTTTCTCTAAGGCATCATTATTGGAGAGTAAGTTGTATGTGGTTGGTGGTGTTAGTAGGGGTCGGAACGGATTGCTTCCTCTACGGTCGGGTGAAGTGTTTGATCCGAAAACTGGTTTATGGAGTGAGTTGCCGGAAATGCCTTTCGTGAAAGCACAGGTATTACCGACAGCTTTCTTGGCCGATGTGCTGAAGCCTATCATCCTATAACGGAAAGCTCTATGTTCCTCAGAGCCTGTACTCATGGCCATTCTTTTTCGATATTGGAGGTGAGATCTATGACTCGGAATTAAACTCTTGGTCAACTATGCCAGATGGTCTTGGCGATGGATGGCCAGCAAGGCAAGCAGGCACAAAATTAGGTGTTGTAGTCAATGATGAGCTTTATACATTGGAGCCTTCCAGCTCCTTGGACAGTGGACAGATAAAAAGGTATGATGCTGAAGAAGATGTCTGGAGAACTATAGTACCACACGTTCCAGTTCATGATTTCACTGATGCGGAGTCTCCTTATTTACTCGCTGGCCTTCATGGGAAGCTCCATGTTATTACAAAAGAGGCAAACAATAACCTTCAAGTTATGCAAGCTGTATTGGAGAATAACACGGGAAACGATACGCCTGAAGAAAACGTCTTATGGAACATAGTAGCCTCGAAGAACTTTGGGGCTGCTGAGCTTATTAGCTGTCAGGTTCTCAATGTTTAAAATGATGAGTTGCTGCCAGCACCGAGTTTTTTCCAACAAATACTTAGAGTCACTGAGACAATGTTACATACGGAATTGCTCCACACACGACATCATGTGGCCGATCCATGAACGACAATAAATCCAGCGAACAGAGTGTGGGCTGTGGACGAGTTTCGGTGGCTGGGATTCATCGTCGTGCACTGGTCGTCTAAATTAGTCGTCCGCCTAGCAGTGTTGTGTTACATATATTTAACTGGGAGTAATGTATGTACATTATACGTATTTAGATTCTTGCAAGTCAAGCCATTCCTCAAACAATGCCACATATAGTCATGTAGACAACACTATTGACGTACTCCCTCCGATTCTAAATGTAGGACCTTTTAGAGATTTCAATATGGACTACATACGAATGTATATTAGTATATAGATGTATTTGAGTGTTGATTCACCCATTTTGCTCCATATGCAGTTTACGTTTTAATCTCTAAAAGGTCTTATATTTAGGAACGGAGAGAGTACTGGTGTTTCTCCACAATCTGGAGGGAGTACCTTTTTCACAACCATTGCATGCACAAGGGCACCTCCAACGAGGATAATCTATTCACCCGCAAATGTTGGAACTGACCGGTGCAGATATTTTTAGCTATCCAACATGGCTCATCAAAATTATCTGGACTATTCACCCACAAATGTCCGGACTGTCTGATGTCGGCATAGGAGCTCGGATATGGTCCTCTCAAAGGGGAAAAAAAATTAGAGCACAGTTTATTCCCCGTTCTTTTTTATTCTCATATATCCTCGTTGACTTAAATCAAAAGTTGTAAAGTCATACTATAAAAAATTAATAACATCTACAATACCAAATAAATATAATATAAAAAATATTTTCAATGATGATCTAATAATACTAATCTGGTATCGTGAATATTGATACTTTTATATATAAAATTGGTCAATCTTTTGGAAGTTGGAATTAAAATAAACATATTATATGATATAAGAGCAACTCCAACGGGGGGACCCAAATTGATGAAGGGTGGAACCCTAGGGGCCGATCTTTCACGATTTGGAGGGGATTTCACGAGGAACACGACGAACACACGAGGGGGAAACGAGAGGAAACACTCAAATCAACAAGGAAAGGTCACACATGTGCTAGATCTGAGAACACAAGGAGGGATACATGGTTCAAATCCAACGAAGGGGGTACAGACCTCCTAGAAGGAGGTCTTGAATCCGCTAGGCGATCTTCTCCGCGAGGTCTTGAATCCACGTGGGGGATCTTCTCCTAGATGGAGGGCTTGGCCTCCAATGGAGAACGTATCAAGTGGATGAGCAAAGATCTATCTCTCATATGAGCTAAACCAATGCTAACCCTAAAATGTAGGTACAAGATGAGTATATCTAGTCTAGGGGGCGAAAGGGTATATGGGCCTCGGCCCGAGTTACTACGCGCAGGCAGGGCCGAAAGTTCC